GGACAATTCACACAGCGCTATCTAGTTTCAAGCTAAACAGAGCTTGTGTTATATGTAGACACACTAGACTAGATAACAGATACAAATAAATAATAGGATATTTTTTTGAAAATACATACATAATAAACATAGAAAACCAGACCGATACAAACAATCATACTCCTGAATATATTTGTCTATTCCAAGCGAGGAATCGAACCTCCGATCATGGGAAGTTAGTCGGTGGTCTAGCTTTATACCTCGTAGATATATCTTATTATTTATTATATATTTATTAATACATTTTTTATGGGAATGTTCAGAGACTCTCGCAAAACTGTATAGAGTATGCAAACAAAGTAGCAATATCGCAAATTCTTGCAGATCAGTTGCAGAATATGTACAAATGTTGTAACAATACCTACTTACATAAGAGCCAGTCAAATTTACCTATCCATTTTCATTATACTGTACTGTTTGGATAGTATATTAGTATTATTTACAAAAATTGTAACCTAATTCTTTATTATTTTGGTATATATTAACTGTGCCTGAGGTTTTTTCCGCAGCGAGTTGCGGAAAAGGATTCACCTTCAAATTGAAAGACAGCTTCATAAACAAGATGTAGAGATATGACATTCTGCATAAAAAGTCGATTATTAATTCAATTCTTTTTAATAATATCACAGTCGATTATTTAAAAATTGATGTTAATTAAATTATCAATTATTCCATAATATTTATTTTTCCACAACTCCAACTTTTTGACCCAACGGTACGTGGATGTTCTTGTTTTGTTTAGATCATTTGGATGATAAAATCGGATAAATATAAATATAAAAATGAATCAATTTAATAGATAGATTGTAAACCGATTTTTCATAATCGATTATTATTTCGCAACCCTATCAAGCTGATAGCGACAAAATTAAGTGAGATAGAGTAACCCACGCAGACGACTTTGTTAAAAGTACAAAGTGTCTGGTAAAAGCTACAGTCCTTTAAAGACAAACAACATACATCATGTCAATTCTGCAAAAAAGAACATCTAAATTTCGATTTAAACTTCGATTACGTCATTAGCATCACTAAAAAAGCAATATGGCGGCACGGTGCGGCGTCACGAAAAAACCTGTTCCCGTACCAATATCGTTTGATGATAATGCGCTATTTTCGGCACGCTTACTCGTTCGTAAATTAGCTCCAGGTAATAATAAGTTCAATCTCTTATTTACGACTACTCTTATTTAGTTATTTTTAAACTCCGTGTTATTAAACATAAGATGATCATAAAATTTTCGTGTCTGTACACACCGAAGGAATATGTCGCAGAGTATGATGCTGATATATTATTGAAAACAAGAAAATGTATTTTTTAATATTGAATCACTTACAAAACAAATAGGGGTGGCCACCCTAGAGAATGGTTAAGCTGCTGTTAAACACACGTAACAGCAGCTTAACCGATTCTTATGAGATATTGTGAACATTTTCAGTAGGTCTAAGAGTAGAGAGATTAACTAAACAATCTCATAAACTTTACCTGATAAACTAACTGTCCTAGAAAACGGATAGTTACTACTATGTTGGCCGATTCTCAGACCTACTCAATACGCTCACAAAATTCTCTAGGAGAATTTTATATATAAGATATGGACCACAACCCTATTTGTTTTGTAACTTGTATATTATGTATGTATTTATAAAAAATATATATTTAAGTATTTAAATTGGTTGTCTAATATCCAAACACAAGCACTGTGATTTTTTTTATTGCAACTATACATTTTTATGTATAATTATAAAAAAAATAGCGTATGCATTACATCTCTATATAAACTACTAGCTGCCCCGGCTTTGCACGTGTGTACATGTATTATACATATAAAACTTCCTCTTGAATCACTCTATCTATTGCTAGGAACTGCATTAAAATCCGTTGCGTAGTTTAAAAGATCTATAGGAACAAACAGCGGAAGCGACTTCATTTTATACTATGTAAAGATTATTTATGTCATTTCTTTACTGTTTGTTACAAATAAACTATATTTTAATCTATCTATTACGGTAAAGTAATAATAAAGTCTATATCGCTAAAAAGCCCGGAAATGCTTGGACAAATAAACTTTATAGTATAGTAGATATCGAGCAATACTTTTTTATTACGAACGGATACAAACAGATATACAAAAACTCGTTATAAACACCAGCCACTCAACCGCGATAAGATCATGACCGTTGACTACTGATCGGCAATGATTTTTTCATTGCGTTGTGTCTAAATGATTTGTCATTGTACTTATTAATGACAGGTTTATAGCATATATGGTATAAACGATCTTGCGACTCACCTGATGGTAAATGATTACCGCCGCCCATGAGCACCTACAACAACAGGGGAATTGCAAGTGGCAACGCGCCGGCCTTTTAAGAAGGAATAAGCTCTTCTCTTGAAGGTTTCAATATTTTTATTAATAATTTTTATATTGGATATAGAATTAGTTCTATATAGAAATGAAAATTAAAAAAGGTTTATTTCCTTAAAAACAATTGGATTTCAATAATATAGTGCTGGGATGATCTAGTAAGCACAACAAAAATATTAGGGGTGGACAACCTTTATCACTTAGGGTGAAAAATAAATAGTAGCCGATTTTGAGACTTACTAAACATACCTATAAAATTTCTTAAAAAATAACCCGTTTCGGAGGAGTATGGTAAGTAACATTGTGACATCAGAATTATATATATAGGGTATAAAAGAACAGCTTTTCACTAAATGTAAATGAATAGTTACAATGGCAGCTCATGGGCGGCGGTAACCAGTTATCATCAGGTGAGGCGCAAGCTCATTTGTCCCTTATAATAAAAAAATGTAATTCAATTAACAAAAAACGGAACATAAATTAAATGTCAATTAGATTTTGTAATTGAGATATGTTCAATTTGTACACGTTAATGTAACACGAGATTGTATTGGCTACCTCGTCAGCACCTTGACCTGGCAGCACTCATTAAGTCAAGACACGTAATATTGAAGTTCAAACATGATTGCTCTAAAGTTTAATTTCTACAAACGTGAATATTTAGGAATACCTACTCCAAGGTTCGTTTTTTCATTTGTTATAACCTATTCGCTTCTTATGATTTCCTAGTCCTTGTAGTATTTTTTTACACAGATCTATTATATAATCCCAAGCTAAGCAGAGCTTGCGTTATGGATACTAGATAATTGATAAATCTATCATCTACTAAGATTTTTTTCTAAATATATACATAATATCCATAGAAAATACCTACGATACAAAAAATCATATTCATGAATACAAATGTTTGTATCGTGCTAGAAATCGAACCCGCGACCATAAGAAAAGCTTTGTGCTAAACCGTTAGATCACCGTGGCCGTCAAGTTTAATATTTAGGAATACCTACACCAGTGTTTTATAACTTATTAGTTTCTTATGATCTCCTAGTCATTGTAGTATAATCAAATATATATGTTTTTTTATATTGTAACCGAAATAACAAACTTGTCCGGCTAACAGTCCACCCGATGGTAAGTGGTACTGTCGTCTATAAAAATCATAGATACTTGGACAGCGCCATGGACAGCCTGTGAGGGCTCTGCAAAGGATGGAAAGTATCTTGTAGGGATAAGGGTGCTGGATGAGGGATTATGCATTACAAATCTCGAGAGACTACAGCATGGGGTTTTTCAAGACCATATATTAAGGTTTCTATAAGTTGGCAATGCAGATTATGTGTACACTCCTGGTGTTTCAGGCGTCCATATGCTACAGTAACCGTTTACCATCAGATGGGCCGTATGCTTGTTTGCTACCTAAGTGGTATAAAAAAAAACAATTCCTGAGGATAATCAGAGTCCGTACATATGATTTGACTACCATATCTCACCATTTAAAACTGACCAGAGCTTGTTATATACGTTGCTAATAGCAGATTATTTAGTAGTTTTCGTACTAATACTTATTTAATTTTATTTATATTTACATTTTATAATGGTCCTATTAAATTCTTATTAGATTTCAAATTAAATATTCAATTAGCCTATTATATGTATTATAAAACATATAATAGTATTTATAATGATACGAATTCATGCGAAAATAACTTAAGAATGAATGAAATGTTTCGTTTAATTGTTCAGTTCCGATTATAATCAAGGTTACATCGTTCACGAATAAATGAATGACCATACAAATTATATAACGAATAGTTTTTTTTTTGTAAATGCTATTTAAAATTCATGTTTCTTTGGTATCAGTATACATATACCATTATTTGAAAAATGATAAAACAGTGTCAGTTATAATAGAGCATATTTCTAAAATGTATTGTCGAAAGATAGTAAGTAGTATTTTAGTTTTTATTATTATAAAATTAGTCGTATTACAGTTAGTTGACGATTTTAGTTATTTACATAGACGCGTGGCATTATCTAGTTACATTAGTTTTTTCAAATGCCACGACATTTTTATTAGAAACCAAGTTGTTTTTTGTGAGTTAGACATTTGAAAATTAGTGCGTTAAACGTTTGTCTACGATTGTACGGTTGAGGTTACGACGATTAATTATCACATCGCTGTCCTTGGTATTTGTCGTTGTTTTTGTATCAATAATATACTACTGATACTATGGCACAATAAGGAAAGAACCTATCTATTTGATAAACAAATAGTTGGTAATTTGTATTAATAAGACTATAGTTTAACGGCGCCATTTGTATTCGATCTTTTAAAAAAAGTACCAGATCTAAACTAAGTTCTCCACGATTTATGCAAGTGGTAATTAAAAAAAAAGTATGCCATCAACATATATTTTTTTAAAATATACACTCCGTATGTATAAATTGTGGAGACGTAATTAAGAACTTGTTTAAACGTAACCTCTTCAACTATGCCTCTCGCTCTAATAATTAAAAATACAATAAGAGCGAGAGGGATAGCAGCGTACAATCATCATAGATCAAGACTTGTTGACATCCAGATACCGGACTCACCGAATCTTTTAACGTGAACGTCTTGATTAAACGAAACAGATTTTGGCTCTTTCGCTTCGCGGTTCTTCGTTTCGGTTTCGTCTTTGGCTACCTTATCGCCATCTTCGGCATCTGACTTGGTACCAGTTTCATCACACATTGGATATCGTTTCGGTACCGGTTATTTGGTACCGCTCGAATTTAGTTTCGGCTAACGTCAACTCGGTGGTTTCCCTTTTGATTTCATCGGTATGTTTATCTGTAAAAAGTTACTGACTTAGTTCTCGTCAGTAAAGCAGGTAGTAGGTATTCGTCAATGTTTTTTTATTCCCTCGAACTATACATTATATAACAATACCTTGATCTTGTTTAGTTGTGAAAATCAAATCGACTTCCACTTTTTTCTTTAAAATCAAACATATATAATAAAACAATGTGTATATATATACTTATATGTAAGTAAATACTTAGAAAATCTTCAGTATTCCACGATCAGCGCAGTTTCAAATGCAATTTTTTTGTTTCACAGAACACGTGATATCTACATAAATAAATGCAAATTGAGTATTACTTTTTAAATTAATAAATATAATCAAAATCAAAACTACTATATATATACATAAGTGTATATTATACGTTCTCACTGAATATTTTGTTATGTAACTTAAAAACTTATCTATCAAAATAACATAAGTACCATTATTTATGTACAAAATATTCCAGTTTCTTTTAATTTATTGTCGCATTATAATAATATATTCTATTTTTGACTAGTCTATAAAAAGTTGTATTTTTATTTTATTGTGCAATTATTTTAAACATAACAAAAATGTTATACAAGACGTATAACATTTTTGTTATGTTTAAAATAATTGTTTATAACATATTATAATTGAATGTGAGATAATAATTACATGTAATATAATAAAATATTGGGTTATGTCTCTTTTCATCAGACACATCAGACATACACAGTGTTAATTTTCATTATTATACTATAGGTTTAGAGTTGGTTCAACCAAGTCATAATGATGAATTTATTAAGATATACGAACACTATAAGGAATTATAATTAAATTTAATATGTATGTACTACATATAAAAATATAGGAAGCATTTTGTTATACGCATTCCGAGCAATTTAAATAAACGTAAATACGCTGTAATAATTTGAATTTTAACTAATTAGTATGATAATTATGTACTATTCACCTCCGAATGTTGTTTTGAATCATCAGTCCAGTCCTCGTCAGTTTACATCAGTAAAATTACTGACTGTAACTGCATTTTGCACCCAGAAATCTGAAATAGAATAATATATACTGTTATTTTTGTTGCTACGTCGACTTAGAGCGAAAGGTCTCGACTTCAAACTTGGCTGAGACAAAAAAGTTCATGTGTTAATTTATTTTTCTGAATACGTTTCGATAACGGAATTACCATTAGATACGTGAAGAAAAATGTTATACCCCTTTTTACGAAAATTGTGCGCACAATCTTTACATATTATAAAATTAAGTTGCTTCCGCTGTCTATTCGCTTAGATCTTTTAAACTACGCAACGAATTTTAATACAGTTATAGCAATAGATAGGACTGATTGAAGAGAGAAGTTTATATGTTTATACATCCGTGCGTAAGTCGAAGCGGATATTAGTTTACATACAGATGGAATGCATAGATTAATATTTTTCTTCATTATGCATAAAAAATATATAATATAAATAAAAAAAACAATACACACACTACCATCTATTTGACACAAACACGCATACTCTATTGTTTATTGTTAATGTCTGTGGTTAAATTCAGAATAGATTAATACTGATTTTATATAATATTATTTGTCTATACTCTTACTGAATGTTAAATTAATTATGGTCGAATATCGGCCACTGTGCGATCACTAGTTTTATTAAACATGCAATACATACGTTACAAATATTTCAAGGTAGTAAGAAACTTGGTATTTTGCAGGTCAGAGGTCATGCAATAAATCGCATCACACTGATATGGGCTCATCTATAGTTTTGAAACAGTTTTGAAATGATCCTGCAATTTATATTTTTAGTAATTCAAGTGGTAGCGACGCCTGTCTACATGAACTAGCTGTGCCCGCGACTTCGTCCGTATGGAATAGTGACCTTAATCAAATAAAGAAAAAATAAAGTAATCAAAAATTCATCATTCTAGCTTCAAAAATGACGAATTTCCATACAAACTTTCATTCCCTATTTTGTTTTACACCCTTAAGGGTAAAATTTTTACACACTGAGTGAAATTTATTATATTTAATCAACAACCCAAAAATAAGTTTCAAGCTTATAGCTTTAGAAATGACAATACTTCCATACAACTTTTCAATCTTTTTTTCGCATTATCTATTATAAATATTATTAAGGATGGTATCATGGACATGGATGGAGTTTGAAAAACTATGTGTTTTGTAGATGTTAAAGATATAATAATAAAAAAAGACCAAAAACATATTCAGTGCGGAAACTTAATTACGACCTTCTCTAATGATGATCAAATTCCGAACGTTATTGATTTTACACTCATATTGCGACACGTGTTTCGCCAGGTCAAATGCTGACTGTTCTGATGCGGTTTAGTCACCGAAAAATCAACACTAGGCTTGCAAGCTATATCCAAACTCAATTCAATGCCTGATGATGCCTCATTCAGAGGGGAAACACACGCAATATGGGTGTAGACCACGGCCAGAATTTGATCGCCATTAGTCAAGTTTCCGTTCGCATTGAAATTAACATCCACACTATTATTACAAACAATCATATGTTTGTACCGTACGAGGAATTGAACCCGCGACCATAGAAAGTAAGATGTGCGTCTTAATCCTTACTAATATTATAAATGCGAAAGCATCTCTGTCTGTCTCGCTTTCACATCGAAACCACTGAACCGATTTAAATTAAATTTGGTACACAGACACTCTAGACCCTGACAAAGGACCTAGGCTACTTTTTAATGCGAAAAAGTGTTGAAAGAGGAGATGAAAGTATTGTAATTTTACGCGGACGAAGTCGAACGAAGAATAAATAGATTTTACTTATATGTGCAGAGTATCTCCGTGCGCTGGTTACGACACCTTAATGTCGCTTTTAGAGCAAGTCAAGTCTATTTAGGAATGCATAAATTGTATTTGCAACATCAATGCATAGCCCATTGGGTGAAACGTGAGTTCATTTTATTGAAGTTATCTTATCCTACATACACAATTTATAGTGTAATCTGTGTTCTGTCTTTGTATCTATGATAGTAAGAAAAAGTAATAGTCTTGTCTATGTTGTCTGTACAAATATGGTATGTAACGAGTGTGCCAGATATATAATTAACTAGCTGTGCCTCTGACTGCTTCCGTTTCGAATAGTGACCTTGCACAGCATAAAGTATTAAATAACCTAACCCAAAAATTCAAAGTATAAACTTTTTAATATTATAACCCAAAAAACCATAGATAAAAGTTTCATCATTCAAGCTTCTTATTTTACCCCCTTAAGGGATGTTTTTATAAACTTTGAATGTCATATTTAGTCAAAAATAAGTTTCAAGCTAACAGCTTTAAAAAAGACGATTCTTCCATGTCTCCCCTTTCAAAAACTTACGTTTTTTAACATTAAAATGTCCTTTTTCAGGGCGTGGACTATCTCTGTACTATATTTTATTTGAATCGGTTCAGTAGTATTCGCTTAAAAGCGAGACAGACAGACAGAGTAACTTTCGCATTTATAATATTAATAATAGTAAGGATTAGTAAGGATAATATCCATCGTACATACAGGTTAAACGTATTAAATTGAATATTACACATACTGCGAACTAGAATGAACCAAAATATTAAATTATTGGTAACACCCACTTTTACTTCCTTTTACAAAAAAAGTACTAGGAAATCATAGTGTGCAAGGATGATTTGCATCGGTTGAGGCCGGCACGGCGCCTTGAAATGTTTTAGCGTCCCACGTGCGACCTGTTACCTGTTTTACACCTACATCATCTTTAGCCGATTGTGTTGAAGGATATTACGATTCATGAATGTAATTGATTATTACTACTGATGATTTATGCGCGACAGTGTTGTCTTCTTCCTAATGTTGAATAGTAGTTGCATAGTATTGAAATATTTGTGTTCTTAGTTGTTGATTTGTTACTATTTTACTAATATTATAAACGCGAAACCTTGTAAGTATGGATGGATAGATGGATGTTAGTTACTCTTTCACACAAAAACTACTAACTGGATTTTGATGAATTTTTACAGTAATATAGCTTTTACATCAGTATAACACATAAGCTGCAAAAATTTTTCATAAGGTTGACACCGCTGGCACAGCTAGACTCATAATTTCTGTGGTGTTGGTGACGAATATTGTGACGTAACGTGGCCCATTCATAACGTGCTTTTGTGTCACATGAATCACCTGTCTATTTCTGATTTCCTGGTAGCGATTCGGCCCGTTGGTTATCTATTTATTTACCTTCTCCTTCTTATTTCTTTTGGGCAATTGAAATGGCAAATCAAGCCAACCAGATGAAAAATGATAACCGTCGCTTATATATACATGAATCGTACTCCTGACATCGCATTATCATGTGATACCCACGACTCATGCATTGCCCTTCTGGAGAACTAAAATGTCATGCCTCTTATCCTGCAATTCCACTCACTACCTTATTTCATTACAAAACAAGCTGTTTGAGGGCTGAAGTGATTTAAACTGCAAAATCATATTATTTTAGTAGAGATTTTTAATAATTTCTCATAAACTTTTTTTGGACTTATTGTAAATTCGAAATTTAATATATTTTTTCATTTGTTCTCTTTTCCAAGATATTTCTAAACAGTTTTTTTTCTGACTACTCTAATGCTGTTGCGACCAACAGCATTAGAGTAGTTAGAAAGCTGGCCTTTACAGCTTCATTGTGCGAGTAGTGTGTTCGATGGCACTCCAAAGCTGCGGAATCCGCTCCATAAGTCCCTTATGGAGCGGATAAAGGCCAACGCCCGTCAGACGGATACAATATTAATCTGTTGCCCTCAGACTAGGGTCCTAGACAAATTAGGCCACGCTAGAGTTTCGAACCTGTTTTCGAAGCTCAGGTCGTCGTAATTTCGATCCCCATTTGAATTGGAGGATTATCTAAACAGTGTTCTAGCCGGTTCCAACAAATAGACATCTATCTATCTATATAACAAAACATTTAATTTGCGTCATGTCAATTCAGGACG